TGTGTGTGTGTGTGTGTGTGTGTGTGTGTGTATGTGTGTGTGTGTGTGTGTGTGAGAGAGAGAGAGAGAGAGAGAGTTTTCCATCGACTGGTTGAGCAACGCACCGGCCAACAGGTAAGTCTCCAAGGCAGCGGTTGGGCTCACGCTGTGACGCCCAGAAACCTCACGCCCGACGCGACTTCCTGATCGGAGTGGGATGTGGGCCTGGAAGTGCGAAAAGGGGTGTGCCAAGGATTTTTGGGGAAAGTGGGGGAGTCTTAAGGGTATGAATGCAATTAGGTGAGTCAGGGGTGCGTGCACAAGGGACTCACGGTCTGGTGGGGCCAGGGCACTGTGGGTGACGGGTTACGGGGAAGTCCCTCCGTGGTGGGGGTGGTCCCGAAAAGTTAGGCCGTTTGGGGCTGCCACGTGGCGCAGGTCGCCGCGCGCCCGAGTTGGGCCTTCGGAATTCCGGGGTTCTCTGTCCGCCGCTACGTCGGCAGTTCATGCAAAACGTATTGGGCCAGTAGGGGGCTATGGCGGGCCACGGCACAACACTGAGTTGATAATATGGGAGAAGGAGGCGGAAAGGAGGGAAACTGGTGGTGATCTCAACGAATCCCGGGTGGGTAAAGTAGTATGTGTGGTCGGGGGAAGGGAAATCGGAGCACCGAGGGTCGCTAGTGGTGGCACAGTGGAATTCCCACGGACATAGCCGATTCTCCGTGTGACAAGGGTACCATGTCCTTATGAGTTCGTTTATTATAGGGGTGAAATAGTCCGGGTCATAGGACGAGTCTGAGTTCCAAGATCGCGTCATGGTATCATCGTCAATGGGATAGCTCAGGTCGGGATATCGTCACTGCGCACGAACACGTGTAGGACAGACAGACTCAGTGACGCCTCAGTATATTCGTACGGGATGACGGTTCCGCCTCAAATCTTCTTGGGTGGGCGAATCGACGTACGGGAATGCGTGTAAGGGCGCGACTCGGATTGCGTTCACACGTATTCTCGCGTGGCGTTCGTGGGGTCAATCCTCATATCGTTTAATTGCTTCAGACTATGCAAGATGCGACCATATCACAACCCCCATCGTGAAATAAGCAAAAACGAGGACAAAATCGCTATCGGTGCCAGATCCTTATCCCATCTACAGCTGCATCAGGTG